TCCTAACCCCGCTACTTGGTATCGGTATCGGTATCGGCGAGTACCCAAACTCAAGTACTCGTATTTGTACTCAGTCTTGAAAAAACTGGTATCGGGACACCCCTAATCCTGATGCATCTCAGTAATCCAGGTAGAAAAAATCAAAAAGAAAAAATAAGTAGGTCCTCCGGATAGGTTCTTCTTTAGTGAAACGTTTCATCTCTCCTCAAGAGACTTCTTCAGTCTGATGAGTTTCAGGTGAAACAAGCCATTTTTAGTCAATGGCCAGCTTTTGCATGTGAATAACTTGTTTGTCCAGGTGGAGGCAGGGCTTATAAGGCTGAGTGTTTTTGCAAGAATGCAGTGTGAATGCTAACAGGTAAGAGACTGATGAAATTTGAAAGTTAAAACAGAACTAGTGAAACAAACTAAAAGCTAAAATTAGTAAAGCAGTAACAAAATACTTAATGTAGCAAAAGTGTAGCTAAAATACAAAAAGTTGCTCGATTATCACTAAATGCTAAAATAACCAAAATAACCAAAAAAATAATTGTAGCTAAATTTTACAATTAGCAAAAACAGTTGCTAAAGCTAAATGCATAAACGCTGTAGCTAAAAGCTAAAATGAGCAAGGCAGTATTTCAAAGCTAAAAGGAGCATAAGAAAACAACAATAAATGCAGTATGCTGTAGATTTCAAAGACATGTTTTGTATGGAATTGAAGAGATCTTATTGTATATTTATTAAACCATGTAAATAAAGTCAAATAAAGTAGAAAAGTTACAAATACTGAAAGTCAGAACACATTATTCCTAGTCGAGTCAAACATTTTGATGAATGAATGGTTAAAATAGCACAAAGTCTGCAGATGTAGTCTGCTGACTCAGCATTCACATTCAAATCTAAACACCAAATAGCCACGTTTTCAAATACCTCAGCACTGCATACCGTTTTTAACGCTCCTTTTTTTTTTTCAACAATGCCTCCAACTTCTGCCAAGTCTTGTCCTCACACCATTAATTTTCTTTTCATCCCTTTGGCCCAAAAGCAAATGAGTTGTATTGTCTCACACTTTCTGCTCACTCGGAGCTCCTGAAATTGGCACCAAGACTGTGATGCAGCAGGGAGTCAGTGGTCATGTTCAACACAGGTTGAAAAACAATGTGGTCCTTGACTTAGTGCAATGACTGTCCCTCTGGCAGTGCTGTAGGGTTTAGTCTTTCTGAAAATGTACTTGTTGATGGACTTGATGATCACATGTGCAGTTTGTAGTTTGTAGTCTGTGAGGTAGGATTTTTGTGGCAATCATAGTAATTTGTCACCCACAGAGTGTTTTCTGTTTATAAAGTAAAAAGGCCTGGGACCATTACTGTAGACTTTGCTCAAAAAGCCCTTCTGATATTTTCTAATGTCTATTGGCTGTGGTATCCACTCCAGCTTAGACACCAAACAGATCAAATGTGATCAGTTTGTTCTCATTGTATACGTTTGGCATAATCCTCAGCTACTACCGCTTTGTATTTGAGCTTAATGTCTTTGCCGTTGACTGAACATTAGCCACTTTTGTTTTCGCCAGCCCTCAAAAAAAAAAAAAAAAAAAAAAAAAAAAAAAAAAAAAAAAAAAAAAAAAACGGATATAATGGATTTAAATTAAAAACATTGTCAGCTGGTTCCACTCAGCTGAACTGAATAAAGGTAACACATTGACTTTAGATTGACTTTAAGTAAATGCAAAGGTAACGTAAAGTAAATGTTTATACAGGCCGGTTTATGCAATAAGTCAATTTTGTGAGAATATTAAATTGAACCAACAGACTGTTGGATGTCACAGAGACACATGATGGATGAGGTGATGAAATGACTGGTGCATCCCAAAGAGAGGGCACCTTTGCTTTAACGCTGGTACAAATATATTTTAGTGTTAATATTGTTTAATTCCAAAAAACTAAAGCAGCAGAAAAAGCAAATCAAAATAAAATACTCTGACACGTAGCGTGCTCGAGCACCGGCTGATCAAATTTATGCACAACACCTGTCCTGTTTTCTCCTAGAACCCACACACCTGTTGGTTGATGTTTTTGTCYCAGTGACCCGGGTCAGTGTTTTAAAGGTGATCAGATTTGTCTCCCATCCCTGGTCCTCCCTGCTCCTATCTGCTCCTCCTGCACTCCTCCACTCCACTCATCTCTTCTTCAGCTAATGTAGCATCCACCTGGCCACACCTCTTCCTCATCTGTTCAGACAGCTGGTTCAAAAAGTTCTGCCAGCTTCCGTAGATCGATATTCTTTTTCAAAATCATTTTGACAAATGCAGTTTTATACTTTATTGAGCACCACTCAAACTTCTTATCTGATATGAAATGATTGCAGCTGTTAGTCAATCATCAAGGGACACGCCTCAAAACTAACAATACACATTCTGATTGGTCAGACCATGTGAGCCCACATGGGTTACTAATAATTTGGACCWATCAGTGACCACACAGATGTGTCTGTTGATTGACAGAAAACCTGACAAAATCGTGTAACCTCAAAACAATAGGCCCCCCAATGCTGTAGTCTGTGCATTGAGACGGCTATGTGATTGACAGGAGTGACTCAGCTCTAAATGCACCTCACACATGTACAGGACTCCCATTGGTGAAAAACACCTCAAAACAAGCTAAAACTGAAAAAAATAAATAAACAAATAAACAAAATTGATTAGTTGGAAAGCCCTCACCTCACACGTGTACAGGACTCCCAATGCAGGGATAAGTACGATTTAGAAAAAAAATGGGTGGACGCAGACCTTTTCTCATTTGACTGTAGTACAGCTGCCCACACGGCCGCTCCTGGCTTTGTTATTTTTCAGCATGAGGAATGTTGTTTGGCATGTGAAGACATGAAAATGTGTGTGTCTCATGCTCATTGCATGAAAATACACCTGAAGCATCTAATCAATGGTTTAGGTCACTGATGGGACACACATCAGTGGCAATGAGGAGTTCAGTGTCTCGCCCATCTGACTGCACACTGGTAGAATCAAACCTCCGACTCTTGTTGGAGGACAACTGCTCTAATCACTGATTCACAGCCGCTCATAATCAGCACATCAACACTCTTTCCCTTTTTTAATTGCAGAAGTCATAACATTGAACACCAAGTCAATTCTGTTGGCAGGATACATGTCCTTGAGTCAGGAGTCTGTCAGCTCTAAATGCCCTTCTTGTTCCTGATTGATTACCTTTCTCTTCTTGCATTTTCACTTTCATTTGCTCTTCTAGCCTCTGAGGAAGATTTATGATTACATTTTTTTGTGTGTTTTTACCCTCTTTTTACAACAACAAATAATTTTCCTGCCTTCTCTCGTCCCTCTGTAGGCAGTTGGCGGTGATGGAAAATGATGGAGGACAAAGGCCCACGTGTAGCCGACTACTTTGTGGTGGCTGGTCTGACGGATCCATCCAAACCATTGGACCAGGAGATCCACTTTGATGACGTGTGCCACAAGACGGCCAAACCGAAAGCCCCCATTACTGATGTGGCGGTGGTGATCCGATCAGTGGGCGAGGAGGTGCCTCCGGGGTTTACATGCATAGAGACCACACCAAGTGGCCAGTCAGCTGATCTTAACAACGGTGGCCTCATGGCACCACAGATCTACTTGTGCTACAGACGAGGCCATGACAAGCCGCCGCTCACCGACCTTGGGTAAGTACCAAAGGATTCTGGAAGTGCACGACATCTCAGTGGCACTGATGTCTCACAGCAAGAAGGTTAGAGCCTTGGGTTAGAGCCTGGGTTCAGACTCTCTCTATATGAAGTTAACATGTTCTTGTGCTTGCATGGCTTTTCTACAAGTACTCTGGTGTCCCCCAAAGACCAAAAACCTCCCGTGCAACAGAGATCTGTGCTTTCAATGGTATTTGCCTGGTTATAAAAGATTAATAAAATGAAATACATTTGATCATATTTGATAAAAAGATAATTAGATTTTCTTTTTCTTGCTACAAAAAAAGAACATTTGTGACAGGAAGTTTAGATGTCAGCTTGCTTATAAAATCCAACTCATTACATTTTTGTTCTCTATTTGACGCATTCATTCTGTCTGGTTCTCTTAAACAGCCGAAGACATAATACTATTGAAGAAAAGTTCAGATTTATTTTAGTTTGAAACTTTGACAGTGCTCTGTATTTAAACAGGTAAAAAGTAGGAATATGCCAAGTGCAGTAATTGACCATTTTTTATATTGGTTGGCTGGTTCACCACTCAAAAATGTTTAATTTTTCCAGTCAGTGAAGGCATCGTCACCCAGGGCACAGCCAAGGCTTTTAGGTAGGATTTTGGAAGAAAAGTCTTTCCAGGACCCAAGGCCCACCTCCACCCTAATTCTGACTGGCTAGTTGACCTAGATTCTAATGTGTTTGAAAGCAAAAGCTGCATCTCATCCAATGAAATCTCTGTTAAATCTCGGCAAACCCCAAGATTGGTACGGAGATAATAATAAAAGTTTACATTTATTTGACCTCTTTTCCTTCCCATTTCAATCCACTGCCTATATGTTTAGATGCTCCTCTTTCTTTTTTGTTCATCTTCCAAAACGTTCCTCTCTCCTCAAAGTCTATTTTTTTCACCAGTTTGATTCAAGAGTAAGTTTTTAGTACTTCGTATTTTTAAAATAAAAACAAAAAACGAATCCAAAATCTGATTATGTTTCTATCTTTCAAGTTATTCTGTAGATTATGTAGCAGGGATGTGGAGTTTATTTTTGAAGTGCTGTGTAAAAACCTTTGACCTTCTTACACAACTAACTGAAGGGTCTGTTCAAGGTCTAATTTAAAAAACACTGAATGCTGTTTGAAATTCAGCTGAAACACTGCTTGTGTTTGCAAAAGAATGACGCTCGGCACTGCTCAGATTGCAGGGACTGCATCATAAAACATGCTTTTCGAATAACGGCAGCAGGAAAAAATAATTACTGTAAAAAGCTTTTGAATTGTATCCAGACAAAATTTCAAGTCTATCAGCTGATCACTGTGAAATTTGTTCTCTTGTCTGCTTTTGGATAGTGCCACAAAAAAGCCTGTTGAGTAATGGAGGATAAGTGCATAATGGAAGAGATGCTTAAATTACTGCCACTGTTGTGTACCTTTTAGTACTTGTTCTCTAAGTGGTTTGTTTGAGGATCCTCTTGTGGGAAACTGCAGAACCCTCTTGGTTTATTATGTTATTACTGCCAGTGACTGTGCCAGGATAAATAATGTGTGATGTACTAGGACTATCTAATCCAAAGGTAAATTGTCCTTAAAAAGAAAACTCAAAAGTGAGAAGAACTAAAAGTTTTTAATTAAAACTATAACATAACCTCCCATATATTTGGAGCTTTACTCAACCAAGAGACAATAGTGAATACAAAAGAAAAAGCATACAAAAAACATTACTTTTAATTCAGTAGCACGTGTACGGTTAGGAGAAGAAAACAGATAATTTATTCATTCAGTTTACATTTACAAGAAGCAGAGCTCTTGCTTAGTTTGGATTTTGATGCAGACCAAGACACAGAGATTTCTGTGAAGTCTTATGAAGTCAGTGGGCAGCTTTCTGATGCCTGACATGGAGTATATCTGTCATTGTGGCCACGTTTTTAGCATCTGTGTGTCTGTCTGTGTGTGTTTTTGTTTTTGTCATTTTTTTAATATAAACTAAACTAGAAAAAGGGGTGCTTAAGTAGGCTTGGGCGGTATGATGGTATTATGGTGTATCTCGGTATTGAAATGTAGTGACAGTATTTAAATGTTATTGCTGTACATCAGTACTCTGGAGCCTAGTCACATGAACTGTTTACATCATTACAGCTGGAAAGATACAGGGGTTGGACAATGAAACTGAAACAACTGTCATTTTAGTGTGGGAGGTTTCATGGCTAAATTGGACCAGCCTGGTAGATAATCTTCATTAACTGCACATTGCACCAGTAAGAGCAGAGTGTGAAGGTTCAGTTAGCAGGGTAAGAGCAGAGCTTTGCTCAAAATATTGCAATGCACACAACATTATGGGTGACATACCAGAGTACAAAAGAGGACAAATTGTTGGTGCACGTCTTGGTGGTGCCTCTGTGACCAAGACAGCAAGTCTTTGTGATGTATCAAGAGCCACGGTATCCAGGTTAATGTCAGCATACCACCAAGAAGGATGAATAACATCCAACAGGATTAACTGTGGATGCAAGTGGAAGCTGTCTGAAAGGGATGATATGGTCTAAAACCAGCTGTTTCAGTTTAATTGTCTAACCCCTGTGTTTTCCAGGCACATAATTCAATTCTAATAACATCCCCCACCCCCACACACCCCCGACCACATTTCTGACMGAGGCACAAAGATATTTGACAAGTACCAAAAGGTCTACAGGAAGAAGAAAAAAAAAAATGCAAAAGTTGATTAAAGTTTGGTAGTAATGGAGAGATGACAAGAACAGGAGAAAGTAACTCAGCATGCCACAGTCTATTCACCCCCGATGCCCYGCCCCTTTTCGCCCTGTCCCAGTAACACTCCATATCACTGTATTATCTAAAGAGAACATGTTTCTATAAAAAGATCAATATTTTATTGAAAATCTCAGTTTGTATTTTTCTTTTTAATTGATTACTCTTCAACGTGGTGTCACATGTGGGTGAGACTAAGAGTCTGTTGTACTCCCCCAGTGTGCTGTACGAATGGAAGGAGCGACTGAAGCAGGGCTGTCACCTCATTCAGACCACTCCGTCTGGACGTCCAGCCAACATCAGTGGGAATTCCTCTCAGCGCATTTACATCACGTACCGGCGAGCGCCTGAGAGCCAGCCTCACGCCTCGCTGGCCGTCACCGACATCTGCATCATCATCCCAAGCAAAGGGGAGACGCCCCCGCACACCTTCTGTAAGGTGGAGAAGAACCTCAACAGCAGCATGGTTAGTAGACCACTCTTTACTAGAAGGCTTCAGAGCATCATTATCATCTGCTGCATGAAAAGCTGGTGACAATGTGATTGTCTGAGTGTGTTCATTTGTTATATTAGTAAAATATCTCATGAACCAGTGGATATATTTTTCAAACTTTCAGAAAATTATCAATAGATGTAGAGCTCCAGCTGATTAACTTTTGGAGTCAACTTAATTCAAGATGGCCACCATAGCTAATCAACTTTAGCAAATACATAAATCTGTCAATTTTCACAATATTATGTTATTATATATTACAATATTATGTACAAATATTTAGATGGTAGTACCTGAGAGTCATTCAAAATACATACTGAGAACACCAACAGATCACACAAGATCTCACAGTATTACGTGCAATAACTCAGTTATTTTCAAGATTTGACACAATGACTGTAACTGTCATTTTTATGTAAAAGATGATCGTAGTCTAAAACTCTGTGTTTGTCATCCTTCAATGAATCAGTGAACTGTRGACTTTTCATTTACAAAACTGCTTTTATCAATTTACGTTTTGTTTTTGTCTAGACTCTTGTTTCCTACCAGTCTACACATTTCGAGCTGATGCCAGAAGCTCATAAAAAGACCAACTCTTCTAGCAGAGCAACATGATGGAAACATGATTGCATCAGTAAAGAACAAAGCATATAAGTGTTCATGTATTCTAAACGTCAATTATTTAATTTTCTGCTGATGTAGATGTCAGAGAATAATTTAAAAATAAAGGCAAGTGAGCAACTTCAAATCTCAAACTCATTGCTCAAGGATTTTCTTTCTTCCAAATCACTGCAGGACATGTTTAGGTTTTAGAGTTAAGTTTAGAAATTTTGTTCTTAGAAGATGGAACTTAACTGATGCCTCACGTTACTTTGTCTGTGCATTTGATCTCTTTGATGTTATTTTTTTTAACGTCCTACCAGCTCTGACATGTTAAATAAATTTGAAATTGAGTTTCTGAAAAAAATCTGTAATACTGGAAAAAATCTGTGAGATTGCTCTATACGTCCGTATACCTGAAAAAACAAGGAAATTACAGACAATCCGTACAACTTGACATGTGTGTAAACACAGCAGCTTCTGTGACTTATTTAAAGAAACCAAGAACGCCCATAAACCTTTTGGAGACTCTCTTGAGACCTCCATTCACCAATAAGTTGCCAGCAGTTGCAGTTCAGTGATATATCGGCTTTAATCAGACATTAGATTTCCATACAGCTGCAGTTTTGCGTTCTAGTTGATCAGGAACCAAACCTTGGTTTAAACAGAGCTATAGATCCAAATGATCTTTTTGAGACTGTGGTCATTTAGCTGCAAAATCACCCTTTTTTCAAATTCAACCAGAGAATACATTCCCTATTTTATTTTATTTTTTTATTGTGAAGTCATTTACAGCAAATTATCTAAAGTACGAGTTCTTTGGGTAGTGTTTTATATAAAAGGCAACAATTTCCTTTCAGTCCATTTCAAAGGAAGAAGCCCGACTCAGGGAGGGAAGCAATCGACAATAAAGAGAAAACAGCAAGGTGGAGACAAAACAAACACAGGGTGGTTTGGTCATGTCAGTAACCACAAATCAGAAGTTCAGTGGAAGAAAAGGAAAAAAAGTGGAAAAAGACAAAAACAGAGACAAATAGTTATTGACTGATACAAATGCATGAAATGAAGGAAACTGAAAAATGCAAAATATTCTAATTGGATTAGTGTGAGATTGACTGTTAATGGGTGGCAGCATTAGTAGGGCAGGTTTAAACACATTTTCACTTTAAAAATAAATTATATWTCTATGAATTTTGTTCCTGATTTGCTCAAAGCTGATCCCTGTCTGTTAGACTGGTGAGCTGAYTCCTCCTGTTCTGCTCCTGTTTTCAGTGGGGCTCCTCTGTTTATCTGTGTTACAAGAAGTCTGTGGCCAAAACCAACATAATAGCCTATAAAGCAGGTAAGCTCTCCTAACCCTGCCACTCGCACACATAAACACACAGATCAAACAGCATGTTGCCAGGTAGTTCTGCTCATAATTACTGTCTCTACAGACGAGAGAAACAAAATATTCAGTTTAGATAAAAGCTCCAACAATGAGCTGGACTAGTTTGACTGAAAATTATTTGTGGCTTTTCTTAAAGTCATGAATATTTATTGCAATAAATGCCTTTTTTTGTATTCAATRCATGTTTTTGTTTAAATGGCTCCAACAAGTTGGTAAAACATGGTGGTGCACTGAAAGTAAAGGCATAAGACCTTCATGCCAGTATTATAGTTTTTTTTTTTAGTTTAACATTTTACTTTGTACTAAGGAAGTAATTTATTTGACATTTCAGTGCCAAAAGCACATTTATTTTTCCTCCTAATAAAGATTGCGGCTGCATTTGACTCAGCCTCAGACCGACCGACTGAAATTTAGTTTGTCTCTTGAATTTGCAGAAGACTGGAGTGATTTTTATCTGCGTCTTACTAATGCTCCAGATGAGTCAGGCCACAGAAATTTAGTGTTTTTTTACACTACAGAACAGTAAAAACACAGTCCACATTAAACTTGAAAAAACGTTCATGTAAAAATAAGACAGCCCAGTTTATTTATGTTTTGGTTGGAGGGATAATTCTTAAAGTATTGTAAATGGAAACACTCATTTGTTGAATGGCACACACACAAGTCATTTGAGAATGTGAGCAATATTGTAACTTTCAGTGCTATTAATATTATTTTATGACCAGTGGTGAGGTTTGAAAAGGAAACAGACCTGCCAATGAAGAGATTTCCTTCCTCCGTCATCAAAACAGACCAGAGCAACTCCCTCCTTACTGTTAATGAGGCTCTGATTTGTTGTTCCTTTCTCACTCCATGCTCTCATCACTCGTGAACAAGACTCAGATACTTGATTTCTTTTGCTTAGAGCAAATATTCATCCMGACACAGAAAAAGCATTCCACTATTTTCAGTTTGAAAACAATGTCCTCTTAAAGGTGTCGACTCTCAACCCAACCACTTCACTGTGCAAAAGTCACAGCTCAAAGATCGACAGGATCAGACACAGACAGTCCCGGTGAAGTCCAATTCATGTTAGGGACTAGCTAGTTTTTTGCAGTCCTTGGATAGGTTGAAGACATAGATTCTGAATGAGCTGTGTGCAGGTTCATTTAATGAAGATGTGTTTTTTTAAGGAACTCTGACCAGAAAGGTCTTCAGTGCCTGTCTTAAACTTGAACAACCAGAGACCATCAAAATGAAGAGGGTCTTAGCAGCATGGCTGTCCTGGAGGACTTTTAAAGAGCTGACATCTTTTTATTTGTATCCATCATATCGAAATGAGGATTAAGTCAAATTTGGTCRAAATGACCTAATTACATTTTCAGATTCATGACTTTAAAAGCTATATTTTGACACCTGGATCATTCTGATATCATAAGCTTATCCAGAGAAATGACGTAATTTGTCTTGTTGGTTACATTAATATATTTATATTAGGTCTGAATCCTAATTTTATGTAAATTATTGAGTAATTTTTGATGTTAATATAAAGAGTAAACCTCAAATATTATTTGTTTATTAAGATTTCCCAGTTGGAAAGAAACAAAAAATTGCTAGCTCACAGGTAAAAATGTAAAATTTTAAGGCATTTTTCCTCAAAATCAGTTTTTTTGTTGCTACTGCTCAAAAAATGCTTCAAAAATGTTTTTAGGATTATATTTAAGACAGTTCATTCAAATGATACATTGATAAGGCATCAATTCATTATATTTTGACAAAATGCAATTTTTGCTCGTTTAAATCAAAACCCTGCCTGTTTTTCCACTTTCCACTTTTGGACTTAGTCCTCGTTTAGATGTGATGGGTCACATTTGTGGAAGCAGTAACTCAGGCGTGGGCGGAGTTCAGAGAAGCCATGGAGGACTTCTGGTTGGCCTCCTATGGGTTGTGGTTAGGCCGCACTTCAGGCTGTGCTTAAGCTGAGTGGGGAACTGCTGACTCAAACTGAGATTATTGTTGGACATTGAAAGGATTAATTTAATCCGGACACCATGTCCACTTTAACAGAAGCTAAGTTTGAGGGCTCAGTAGAAAGCGAGTCCGTTACTGTGGCAGAATTTGATGAGGAAGTTAAAAAGCTCCCCTGGCCTGGTGCAAAGAGTGGATGATGTTCTCCCTGAAATGCTGAAGGCTCTAAATGTTGCAGAGCTGTTACGATGACATGTCTCTTCAATGTCACAATGAAAACATCTGCAGGGAACAGCTGAGAAAGGTGGTGGTCCCTACTTTTAACAAGGGGGACCTGAGAGATTGTTTCAGCTGGTGAGGGGTCCATGTACTCAGCCTCCGTGGCAAAGTTTACTCCCCAATGTTGGAAGGAAGGCTCTGGTTGATTGTCAAACATTAAAATAAGGAGCAACATGGCCACACTGCTTATTTAGGAAATTAATAATAAAATGTGCTCAGCTTGTTATTTTCCTGAAAATTAGAATGTATTGTTACATTTTTCCCAATAAAGAAAAGAAAAGAAAAAATAAGATGAAATATTTTAGAGCTTATTTTGATATTTGGTCAACAGATTGGGATTTTTGACGTGGACTGAATGTTCAGATGTCCCACTGATTTTGTGGAGGCTACAATATCGTTCTGGTTTTATTCTGAGCCAACTGAAACATGGGTTTGAACCCCCACCATGATATTTGATTGGTATTCACAAACAGGAGTTTCTTGAAATTCACAACTTGTTTGTGTCATTTATTTATTTATTTATTTATTTATTTATTTGCTTGCTTGCTTGCTTGCTTGCTTGCTTGCTTGCTTGCAGGTTTATTCAGCAGATACCCTGAGGAGGACTATGAGTCGTTTCCTCTGCCAGAGTCTGTCCCTCTCTTCTGCCTTCCTATGGGGGCCACCATCGAGTGCTGGCCAGCAAACACCAAATACTCTCTTCCCGTTTTTTCCACGTTTGTCCTCACTGGAGCTTCAGGAGAGAAGGTAAGAAAGAAAAATTCATAGATWCACTTTCCTGCTTTCACTCCTTTTTAGACTGATGCAGTTAGCGACAGCAGCAGAGACAACAAGCTGCTGCAGAGTTACAGATTGTCTTTGCCATCTATTCGCTGGGCGTCACTGCAGCCAACTTACAGTGCACTGTATGCTGAAGAAGAACTAGGTCAAGACTGTTGCAGTTTTTTAGAGAAATCTCTGCAGCTTTATAAAGAAATCTGTTCACTCATTAATCTTGTACAGTCTTTAGAGTTAAACATTTTCTTTCCCCGTAGTAAAAGTTGTCCCTTTTTTCCCAGAACAAAGACAATGAAATGGTTTCTCTCACCATGGGATTTATAGACAAGCTCCCCAACTTTTTTTGTTCTTTTATTTATTCAACCTCAATTCCTAAAAAGTTCAGATATTGTAAAAAAAATTAAATAAAACTGGGAGTTGCCAAAAATGCCCAGGAGTTAAAGTTTGACCCCCCAGGTGCTTACTGTTGTCCCAACAGTAAGATTTTAAACTGCACTCAAACTTGATCAAATAAAGTAGGTCGGAATCAAAATGTCTAAATTTTTAATAGCAGTTTGATTTCTATGCACCTTTTGAAGTGTTAAGACAGAGATATACATGCTTCTCATTTCTTAGTGTCTTGTGTATAATTACCAAATCTATCAAAACTTTACAAAATACTAGCTGCATTCAAATGTTAGAAACATTACTTTAGCACAGAAACATTCTCTTAATCACTTTATTTAAGGAACTTTGTTGATTTCTAGTGGATTTGACTTTTTTTTTACAGTTTAAGCTTGGCAGCTATTTTTCACTTTACAACTTTGCTCCCATAAGTTACATTCTTAAAATACTTCTTGGACAGAATTGTAAATTGTTGAGTTCAGTTGTATCTGTCAGTATTTGGACTCGACCACTGATCTCCATTGGCAGTCGTAATGCTTCAGCTCACAAAGACATTTTGGACAACAATATGCTTCAACTCTGGGTCAACACTTAGAGGAAAGCCATTATCGATTCCATCATGACTGTTCCCTCATGCACAAAGCAGGGGCCCTAAAGACATGGTTGATGAATTCGGTGTGGAAGAAGCTGACTGGGTGTAATAGCTTCAAAAGTTGGACCAGCCCTCTACAGTTCCTGTTGGTATGATGGTCAGGTATAACCTGTCTTTGTAGTGTCTCATTCTTACTGTGAAATCTCTGCTTTTGTAACAATGATGAAAATCTAGACCCTAAATATTTATATTGTGTAGCATTTAAAGGGGCAACATTATGTGTTTCTCAGGCATATAGTTCAATTCTATACCATAATAAAGTACAGCTGGTGTTCGGGCAGCCTGATATGAAAACCCCACCTTATATAGATATATATTTATATATATTATTTAATCAGTAGAAATGATTGAAATTTTATGAATTGGTTGATTATAATATTTTACAGATTATGTATAAGGCTCCAAAAAGTTATTTCCTTTAAATATCCAATTAAATTTTAAGAGAGTAAGTAATTATAACCTTAAGGGACTGGAGATGTTTATAAAGCCTAAAATTCAAACAAATTTGAAGGACCGATGTACTTCAGTCCAAGGACATCAGATAGGCATTGTCCCTGTCTGTTTTTAAATCTCTTCTTAAATCTCATTTTTTCTCTCTGGCCTTTGAACACAGTTTGTAGTGTTGATTTTATGTTTTTATTTTCATTTTTTAATTAATTTTACGAATGTATGCATGCTTTATTATGTGTACAGCACTTTGGTCCTGCGTGCGTTTAAAGTGCTCTATAAATAAAGATGGTATGGTATGGTAGGGTAGGGTAGGGTATGTTATGGTATGGTAGGGTATGGTATGGTATGGTATGGTAGGGTATGGTATGGTATGGTAGGGTAGGGTATGGTATGATATGGTATGGTAGGGTAGGGTATGTTATGGTATGATATGGTATGGTAGGGTAGGGTAGGGTATGGTATGGTATGGTATGGTATGATATGGTAGGGTATGGTATGGTATGGTATGGTAAGGTAAGGTATGGTATGGTATGGTATGGTATGGTATGGTATGGTAAGGAATAAGAATGTGGAATATTCTGGAAAGTGATTATAAAAATGCTGGCTCAATATATTTGTTTATGAGAATGATAAAAGTTAGATTGTTGAAGAAATACAGTATGAATTTGTATAATGTGCATTCATAAGAACTGTTGTTCAAGGAGTTGAAGTTTTTGTTAAGTTTTGTTATTTGAAGATTCTTGTTGTTTGAATTAATTAATTAATTAATTAATTAATTTATTTATTTATTTAGTGGATAAAAGGGGCAGATCTTAATAAGAAATTTTTCTTTTTTCTGCTACCTTTCATTTTATTTGTGATTTGAATTATTAGTTGTATGTATAGTATTTGTTTTGTTCTTAAATGAAAATGAATAAATTTACTAAACTAAACTAATTTGACTAAATAAGTGTCACAGTTTGTGGGTATCCAGCAGAGAACTGTGTTGAGATGGTCAATGTTATTCACTCTACTTCTTTTTGGGAGGGTTTTTTTGTGGCTTTTGGATGTGTGTTCAGTGATGTTTGTAGACAGATATGATACAACTCCAAGTCTTCTGTTTCAGGTTTATGGTGCTGCCATCCAGTTTTATGAGCCATACCCACAGGAGTGTCTGACAGATCAGCAGTTCTCCCAGCTGGGCCTCCTTAGCTCACAGCAGCATGAACCATCCAACATCACAGCCAGTACCATAGACAACTCAAACTGCTGCTCCGTCTACACCAACAAGTGTATCTGCCTGCTCTCTCACTGGCCCTTCTTTGACGCTTTCCGCAAGTTCCTCACATTCCTCTATCGCTACTCCATCTCAGGCCCTCATGCTCTGCCCATTGAGAAGTGAGTTGACTCATTTCTGATGTTTTTTAAAACAGAGATCAGACCGTGCAGTAAAAGTGTATATCAAGTCATGATTAACAAAACAATAAATCCAACTAATTAAATGGGGCTAGTACAGAATCAGTTTATAATATCTTGAAACTTAGATTTTTGTGGTATGAAAATACTTGTGTATATTTTGAAATTGATGACAAGTTTAGGCTATAGAAAAGAAGACTGGATATAAATTATGACTAAATAGGAAACCAATCATTAAAAGGAGGCGGTTCTCTTTCATAACATTTGTTTTGATGCTTCACTGTGGGATATTCTTTCTTGCTTTAATCTCTGCATTATTTTGAGTTCAACCTTAAAACTGATTATTTTCTAAGTGGCCCTAATGCAGGGCTATTCAACTAAATCACTCCGGGGTCCACAGTTAATGCAGACCAACAGCTGAGGGGCGAACATCCATAAAGTCATTATGTAAATTAACCAAGTATTACAAAGATATGTTACCTTTGAAATAGTTTATTTTGCTGCAATTAATCATGAATACAACACACAGAACCCTGTGTAATAAATGTAATGATAGTAAAACAATATCAACAACAAAAATAACACATTATGCCTCCTACTTATCCCAAATATTTTGACATCTCTGAATTGCCAACTTTTAAACCAATTTTATTTTCACTTTCATAGTTTTGTCTTCAGCTGCTTGTAATTTTAACTGTCTTAGATATTTAATGTAATGTTTTTACCAGCTTCTAGCCAAGATTCTGACATTTCTGTAGATACCAAACATGTCCATGTTTAACTAAAATAACTCAGAGTAATTAAAGTAGAAAACGGGGAGTTTGGGCTTAAAGATGAATGAACCAATTGGCAGGCCAAACTTTGGTCACTCGTGGGCCGGATGTGGCCCACGGGCTGCCAGTTGAACAGCCCTGCCCTAATACCTCATTGTAGATAAACTGTAGTGGAACAAGTTAAACAGGTAGAAACTAATTTTTTAGTTTACAATTACAAAAACATCTTTAAGATCTCAATTCAAAACCCATCTTCCATGAAGACAAGAAGGTGCACCCACTGTGCTGCATCTGTGGAAGTTTCCATCAACACTTTAGAACAGCATGTAATCATCTAGATAATGTAGCTTTAAGATGTTATTTATATCAGCAAGGCAAACTAATATTTGTATGCATCACAACTTAGATTTTTTACTAAAACATTTGCAATGTTTTGAGGCAAATAAGACAAATCTTTTTTCTCCTAAATGTTGCCATGTTGACTAAAGCAAATTAAACCTCAATCTGAGCATCTGAAGTTGTGATATCTTTCACTGGAATCAGAAACATTTTTTTCTGAACAGGCAGCAACATGAACATAATTACCAGAGTGGCATCATTTGTCTTGAAACAATGCCACTCAGGTAATATGTAACTCTTTATGTTTCACTGCTGCACAAACCTCACGATGCATTTCTCTGCCGCCCACCTCTTTTATTTCTGGCCTCACATCCTCCTGATTTTCCTTTTCTTCCCAGGCACATCTCTCACTTTATGCACAAAGTTCCCTTTCCTTCTTCCCAGAGGCCTCGCATCTTAGTGCAGGTAAGCTTTTGAGCTGCGAGGGTAAAATGCTGGCTGCAGTGTTTATTGCACAAGATGCATGCTAACCTCAGATAATCACTGCTGTGCAGAAGAAGGAGTGAAGCTGCAGTAGTTAGATCTGAATGAATATTTAAAATGAATGAATATTTAAAGTCTTCTGTGCAGGTGTTGGTTTTTCTGCTTGGTTGGTTTAATCTGACTTTTCCAGCTTTTCTCCAGCTTTCCCCTCATGACAGCCTGATGTTGAGTCAACCAGTGAGTTCTCCTTTACCACTCAGGTAAAAGCAGCTGCTGTGAAGCACAACTTTCTTCTTAAACAGCAAATGTTTGGCTGCCTATTGACTGTAAAAAAGAGTCTATATGATTACTGTAATTTGCACACAAACAGTTTATTGGAGTAATAAAGAACCTCTTAGTCAAGTCTATTGAAATGATAAAAGTTACAGTGTAAACTTGTTATCAATAAGTCTTTTGTATTCAGCTGGGGAAATACCAGGATTATTATAATCTATATAAGAATAAGAGAAGATTAAACCATTTGAATGTTGTTTCTTTAGTGGTGGGAGATTTTCCACTCTGCTTCAGAACCTGGGACCAGAAAACGCTGTGACCTTACTTGTGTTTGCTGTCACTGAACACAAGATTCTGATTCACTCGTTACGTCCAGCAGTGCTGACCAGCGTATCTGAGGCTTTAGTGTCTGTGAGTTACCCCATTCACACTCAGCACCAACCAGGAGTGTCGACATTTTTACATTTTGTTTAAAGCAATGTTAACCCCTCAGATTTATTATTTCATATAAATGGAGTTGATTAGATCCTTCCTTAATTTTATTTATACAATTTCAAATAATAATAATAATAAAGTCTTTCTTTCATCTTTATCCACTTCCTCAGATGATTTTTCCTTTTCACTGGCCATGTCCATACATCCCCTTGTGCCCCCTGGCTTTGGCTGATGTTTTGAGTGCCCCCTGTCCATTCATTGTAGGGGTGGACTCTCGATACTTTGATCTTTACGACCCGCCGCCAGATGTGAGCTGTGTGGACCTGGACACAAACACCATCTTCCAGTAAGCACTGTACCAAAACCCTTTCTGTTAAAGCTGCAGATGTTAGGTGTTTTAGAAATCAGCAACTGTCAAATGATCCTTTGATTAACTGAGTATTCAAATGTACACATGCTGTGTTAGTGGTCTCTAAATGGTTTTCCTCTTTGTTTCTAGAAAGCCCTGACTTGCACCACATGTTACATATTTGTTCAAGGATGACACGTCCAGATGTGTTAGTTTGGTAAAGGCGTTTGTTTTTACTGTTAAGGCTCCATCACATTATAACGTTTTAGACCATTTATGCTGACTTTTTAAAATTTAGTTATGAATATAATACAAGTGCTGCAAATTAGCTCACACTATAAGCAGCATGATACAAGCATGAGACTGCTGGTTTATTCAGTTTATCTATGTTATTGTGTCTGTCCCTATCAAAAAAAAAAAAAAAAAAAAATAGAAAAAAAATTTGTCGGGAAAATCCCCACTATAAGCAGCATGATACAAGCATGAGACTGCTGGTTTATTCAGTTTATCTATGTTATTGTGTCTGTCCCTATCAAAAAAAAAAAAAGAAAATAATAGTAATAAAAATTGTCGTGGAAATATCCACTTAAGGCAGAAACACGTGAATAAAAGAAGGTGCACTGCGTGGTTGGTCGTCAGATGATTTAATAAGGTTTGCATATGCAAAGATGAGTAGCAACTCAAGCAGAACCGATCAGCAGGTCTGTCAAGTTACCACTGAAGCAACAGCAGAACAGGAAATGGTTTTACATCCGGTCGAAGTCCGTGAGCAACCAATAACAGAACAACAAATAGTACAATGGTATTGAATGACCAATAATAGAATTACAAGTTATACAGGYAGTATCGAAATGAGAGCAAGGTCCTKAGACATCAAACGGCGTCTTAAGAATCATGAGAACAGATTGTACAAATGTAGCAGTTATCAGAGAGATATAGAATAATAATGTCAAAGCAGTGTGAACAGGAATGAGCAGGCACATAGTTATATAATTATTCTAGCACAATAATAATA